TACATGCGAAAACACCGATTGTGCCACACGTTAGGTATCGCCGCATGCAATAATTCTGGGGCCAATATTCATGGCCAACTCTAAACTGATGATTATAGGCTGGAGTTTCTCAATTCACATTATTTTAAACCCATGAAACCAATTCCTAGTTTTGGCCTGACAAATTCTGCTACGGGATGTGCATTGTGGTGCCATTCATTTCAATGCACCTCCCATCCACAGTGTGATCGCCGACACCTTGTTCAGAAGTAAACTTTAGGTTTGTAACACTGCATTTGTGTATTTTATTTAAAAAATCCGTCTTTTATTTTATCGGAATAATCAAAAAAAATCATTCGGCCAACTAAACGATTATGAAAATAATTGTTAGTTGCAGTCCCAATAGTGTGACATGCTAGGAAATTGTTCATTCAGACATTTAAACTTACTAATAGGTCAACGTTAATATTGCCCACCTGGTTCAAACGCTGGCATCTTCATTTCTCCTTGATTCAATTCTGTTCCATATTTTAATTTATGATATTTTGCCCTAGAATAGATTTTAAAAAAAGAGAACACGCAAATGTAATCACAATAATAAAAAGGTAAATGGAAAGCGATATTTCCACTGAGCACATGGGGAATTTATTCACCCACTCACATGTCCATATATCTCTTAATGATTGGGAGATATGTGGTTGTGCTCTCCACGAAAGGTAAAGTTACCCACAAACACTGTTCAGACATTTACATACTATGGACCCAGGGAACATTTTCTAAACCAGAGACACAGAAAAGAATGAACACACCTTCAACTTCAGTTCACATTAATCATTTTTTGGGGTGTTGGTTTTCGGCGCTTTTCTCAGCACAGGGATTTTGGTGCAAACAAAAAATACAAATGTACAATATAATGTTTGCCCAAATGTATCTGAACCCTAATTCTACACTAACCTAACATTAAAGCCTACCTTCACCCAAGTCCTAAAATGGAACCTATCCTAAAGGTGCCCATATTTTTGGGACGATGCAATCATCGTCCGAAAATTTTCGTCAGATGGTTGAACCATCGTACCATTTTCGTACGGCGGCCCCATCCTGCCCCGACCATTGCACAGTTCGATTAGCTGTCTTTAGCAGAAATAACCTGGAAGAATTTTGTTCATCGACCGCACGGATTTTCGTTTGCGCATGAGCAGTGTTTAATCGTACGAATTTTGATGTACAGAAACGCCACCAACCTTGCCAAAATCGTATGATCGAACAACGTTTTCTAGTATGCTGGAAACACGAATGTCGTACGCTTGTGCAGTATTTGCGGTCGTAGACTCCCCATCAACCTTACGAAAATCGGACGAACACGCGATCGCAAACGAAAATTCGGCCGACATTCATAAGGTGTATGGGCACCTTTACAGAACACAAACTGCTGCTGGAAATGGAATGAAACTCTCCTATCCTTTACAGCTGAGGACGATTCCATCTTGGCGTCAAATTAGATGTGTAGTTGCTATGGTGCTGTACACCAGCTATGACACCGGTCATTTGAGGGTTTGAAAGCTTGCTTGAGCAGATTTAAGCACACTAGATATGGTGGCCATTACCACTGAAGGAATGCTATGAATGTAACGGTTTCAAGAACCAAGTTAATTCACTGTGTTTAGCTCCGTTTTAAACCCTCATACGAAAAAAAAAAAAAAAAGTATCCTTAAAAAAAATACAAAAACTGCTAAACAAAGGTTCCTAATGCTATGATAACCTTTAAATTCTATGCCCGGGAGGGGGTGCAGAAGAAAAAATATTCTAACTACCTGTAGTGAGACAACAATGGTGCCTCTGCAGTGATATGTGAAGTAATGTGGGCTGACAACAGCGCTTGGGTTTTCATTGCCGCAGAAACAGCATTGTTAACCCCCTACAGGCAGTTAGGATCTCACAGGATCATCAGGTACTTTTTTTTGTACTTGCAGTATTTTTATAGATACAAAACCAGGGAAAAGTGCCTAAATTGCAGAAATGTACCAACTATGTTTTGTTTTTTTTTGCCATGGCAAACTATGAATTAACCCCTATTTGTTAGCCAAGGCACCTGCCAGATTAGCAGGTGAGTAAATCATCACACAGACTTCTTAGATTTACAACTCCATGCACAAGTAAGCCACATGAATTCCATTTCAGCTGTGGATTTATCTGCATCTTGAAGGTTTCATTGAAAGCTCTCATCCAGACAATATTAATTATAGAAATGTCCTACCCCCTCATAACATATTTTGAGGAATATTATCTGACATTGCTCTTTTGTACAGATATTGGCACATGCAATCCCTGTGACATCAATCACTGGGTGTCTTACAGGCTGATCACCATCAGAAGCTGGTGGGAGGATTTGGCAGGGAGCCCGATAACTTTCAAGAGCCCACTGCCTGCAGGCAGTCCGTGGGCTGAAGTCTCCAGAACTCAACCCCTCCAGCACCTGAAGCTTAAATCTACATACTACAGACGCTGCAGATAAGAAGTAGGGTCCAAAATCCTCATTTTCTATGTCTCACACCATGATTCTTTTACAGAACCCCTTCACCCCCAAACCAAGGGAGCAAACACAGTTCGGCTTATTAGCTCTACCCCAACCCCTCTTACCCCATGAACATTCCTATAAGATAGTGGTGCTGCCTATCACTGTGATGGGCCATCAGTAAGATAACAAGGAAGGGTTTGTTGCTGCTGCCTGGCTTTACAGGGGTGCTTTTTTTTTTTATTCATTGAGGATTAAAGTTCTGCTTGAGTCTAGAGTGCTATTTAAGTCTGGACTAAGGGCCACACAACAACATCGCTTTCATGCATTAAGGTTGGCAGCCCATTTAAATGGTATGGTGCATTACTGCGCAATGGGGCTTTACTGCTTCTTACCTCCAAGTACAATTGTCACCAGGTCCTAACGCTAACAACACAAGAACAAATATTTGAAAGAGGGCATGGACAGCATCTACGGCTTGTTTCTTAAAAGGAGAACTATGGGGTCAGGGCTTTTCCCCCATAGTTCTCCTAAGGGTCACGGGAGAACACAAACTAGCGTTCTCCCGTGACCCAAAGCTCAGTATACCGCGAGCTACAGCCCGCGGTTTACTGAGACTGCTGAGGGACAGCTGGCTCTGAATATCCAGAGGCAGAGCCCGCCCCCTTCCCCGTCCGTTTCGTCAGTCAGCGCTGGAGAATCGGACAGGGGAGGGGGATCCCTGCAGGGAGCTGTGAGCGACAGTCGCGGCTCTCTGCAGGTATAGATCGAGAAGTGAGCGATCCATGGTATGTGTTCGCTCACTTCCGGTTCTACTGAGCCGACCTGTGACAGTTTCATTGTCACAGGTCGGCTCAGATTATGGGGCTGAGTGAAAATCATTCGCCTCATAATTCTCAATGTACATTTGTCAGGCCTTACCTCTCTTGCTTCAAAGCATATTCTAACATTTTTATTCTTCGTACTAAATCCTTCTTCAGATTTTCTTGACCTTTTCTTTCACCTTGCAGGAAAGCTATCCGTGCCTGAAAAACAACAACAGGAACTGGGTTTAGATAAAATAAATGTTTATTGTGTTACACATACCTGACATTACGTCAGCGACTTATGAGAGTCATCTAGCAAGATTTAGGAAACTCAGAATTCCCAGAATCTCACTGGAAGGACCATTACGTCACGCTCACCTAGACCCAGAGGGCAGAAGCCGGGTTTAAGGTGAACTTTTCTTTGTTTTCCCACTGGGTTTTATTTTTTAACAATTTTTTTAGGCAGACCTTCCATTTCGGTGCAAGGTCCAATTTAAGTTAGCCCATCTGACTAACCACCTGACATTCCACCACAGCCGATGTTGCACCTGTGTGTGAGATCGAGACAATTGAGGTGCAACTTTTTAAGGAGATAGTAAGAGGGGTGGCATGGCTAAAGTCAATTTCTGAGGTTCGGTGCACATTAAACTAACCCAGCAAAAGTGAACATGCATTAAAAATTGGACTTACTGGTTTACAAGTACAGATATTTTACAATTTTTCCATCACAAAACATATGTAGTACAAAACGTGATGACCATTTCAGAGATTCCATTTTGATCAATAGGGCGACTATTCATATTCTCAGTTAAGAAACAAAAAGTATGCCTGGCATGCAACTTGGCAGCTGTGTGGGCATAAAAACCACATTTACAGGGACCAGCCTGAACAGGATCCCTTACAATATGACCCTAAGGTAAAGTTCATTCAAAGTCTGCTGAATCACATCACACCCCGACACATACCTCAGTGATAAATCACAGTGCTATCACGGGTAGAGAACTTTTGTTTGCTAGGTGCCGGGTTCACTGAACTTTAGGTCTCAGATGGAGACTTTAGATTCTATGTTAGAGCAAAAACTACCGTACACATCAAAAGAAGTGCCGATCATTTTTCATATAGATGTGACTATTTCTGTTCGTTGTGTCCCAAACTTAGAACCAAAGTACATCTCATCTGCTAGTTCATGGCCAACTGTGCATACTTCAGAAATCATGTATGGCGTTTGGTCAAAAATACCCCCCCGAAGTATAAATATGATGTGACAAAGCAAGGTCTAGGAACAGATACAGGCAAGCAATGCCATAATGAAGCAATCTGTCCACAAGACATTGTGTCAAAATATATACTAGATACGCACTTTTAAAAACTTAAGTTTCATTACGTGCATTCCATTACATATTCTGCGGTGTCAAAAGTAATCAGTGCTTTGCCCATGTAGGCCAAAGCAGCGGGTTTAAATCACCAGAAACTGCATCACAACTGCGTGCATCTGCGCAGTTGCACTGCGATCCGTTTTGATGCATTTGCAGTGCGTTTCTGATGCGTTTTAGTTCTGCACTAGAAAATGCTAATTAGGCATGTAGGTCACTTCCTTTTCCTGTCAGAGCATTTCCTACGCTTGTTTTGTTCGTTTGGGAGCTCAGTCATGCTTTCTTTATATGTTTGAGCAAAAGTGGACTCACCACATTGCTGTTTCTGTACCCTGTTCATCGCACCAAAATCAGGGTTCAACTTTTCACAAATCTCCCTCCACTTGGCCATCTTCCGACAATTGTTTTTATATTGGGGATGTTTGCTGTCGTACAGCAGGGGACAGTCACGCACATATTTCCTCCGCATCCACACCTTCCATCTCTGCTATATCTCTCCACACTACAACCAGGAAGTCCCTGGACGATGACATTCAAATCTGAGTCTTTTTTTAATGCGTTTGATGCATTTGCAATGCGTTTGTGTCGCGTTTTGATGCGTCTTGATGCAGTTAAAGTAGGACAAGCAGTACTTTTTCTGACTGCAGTCGAACTGACTGCAATGGTGTGAATTAGGCACAAGAAAGCCCATAGGAAAGCATTGTGATGTATTTTGACTGCAGCAGTCAAAATAAATGGACTGCATCACAAATGCATATGGTGTGAACAGGCCCCAAGTTGCAAATTAGAGATTGCACAGGGCTAAGTACCCTCCGCCCAGCAAAATATGACAGAACTGGGTGCTTATATAAAGATTTCAATTTAAATGACCACTTACACTCAATTGCTTACATTTCAACATAGCTGAATAAACAAATCAGAAACAGTCTCTGCACGTAACAGAAGTGATTTTGAATCACTTTTATCTGTATTTTATGGGACAGAGCTGTCATTTTTTTAAGGCACTTTAGCTAGCACCAATCAGTTGAAAGGTTGAAGAAATAAAACATCAGGAGTAACTGGGAACTTTTAGGGCCTGTTCACACGACGTCCGTTTTGTGTGCTGACCGGCTCCGTACGCTGCTGCACTCAAAATGCATCCCAATGTATCCCTATGTGTTTTATGGGCTCCAGTTATCACGTGCGCAGTCCGTTCAGCTTACGACAGAAAAAATACTGCATGTCACATTTTGTTCGGTCCGGAAACGGACGAACGCGCACGAAACGCAACGAAAGCGGAACGGAAACGCAACGCAATGCAGCTAAGGGGGTAAAAAATAAAAAATTGTATTCTTGCTCCACTTATTATGATGTCATCAACGTTGACAAAAAATTAACTGTCAGCATCTGGACCGAAAACGCATCAAAAACGCACTGCATCAGCAGCTCCACGTCTGCTGATCAGCACCTGATCAGGACCTGATCTCATGTGAACAGGCCCTTAATGATCAAGAGGAGAGAAATACAAAAGACATTTTCAGATTTGAGGGCAATGACTAGAAGGCCTGTGTGCTTAAAAAAAAAAGGCAACGCGTACATTAGTACAAGCCTTGCCATACACAGAGGGGCAGGTTTGTCTATTTATACCATTGAAAATGATTGGCAATGCAGCACGGCACACATACACGTCTTGTGGTGTCACAAATTGATGTGCACAGGAGTGTGAATGAGCCCTTAAAGGACGAGTTCAGTTTTAGTTTAGACCTTCAATAAACTCACCCCCTTTAGTACAGTTTGCCATGTTAGGACTCATGCGCACAGGCACATTGGGGCATACAATGTAAAAAAAATGTCAGCGCCTGGGAAGCACAAATGCTGCGTACAGCTGCCCATAGACATGAGGGGGTGTGTGCAAATATACGCTGGAATGAATATAACTAGGTTATAACTAGGGCTGCAACTCATGATTATTTTGATAATTGATTAGTTGGCCGATAATTTTTTCGATAAATCAGATAGAAAAATGAAATAAAAAATACCATCCTTAATTTAAAATAAAATACACAAATGGTGTTACAAATATGTTACTTTAGATTGAAACTGCATGCACACTTTTTTTTACAATCGAACTGCACTGGGTAGCACAGAATTGTCGTACCGTGCGTTCCAGTGCGGGTGATCGCACTGTGGGTGGGAGGCGCATTTGGTGTGCCATTAAAATTAATTCAGCAGAATTTGTCAGGCCAAAACCAAAAATGACTTTTTCCCACCTTTTATAATTCTTTTTTTAATAACTGTAATGTAAGCACATGGTGCTTGAATCGCTTCAGCCAGGGAATGACAGCTGCCAGAAGCAAGATACAGCAGTTGAAGGTAAATACAGTAGGTAGTGAGCTGGTGCAGTAGCCAGCCTGCTATTGGCCATTTCAAACTGCAATAGCCAATAGCAGGCTGGCTATTGCACCCGCCCCCTGCTTGCTGTGTCCTCCTGCCAGTGTTGAGGAGAGAGCTATGGGATCGATACAACCAACTAATCGATGAGTCTAGTTGACAACAATCAATCGATTAGTTGGTTGCAGCCCTGGTTAGAACACGTATTTGGACAGTGGTGGCATCTGGCCTATTAGTTCAGGGGATCCTGCCCACTCCTAAGGTGGAGAAGAGCAGACTATTGGGTTTTAAAAACTATGTGTTGCCTATGAGGTCCAATGATAAAGGTTCTGTCAGTCTTTTGGACTTAGAGACCATAAAGAAAGGAGGAAGCCTCTACTGTTGGAAGACCAGCGAAAAGCTTGCCTACTGTAGGCTAAGCAACATAGACATTGGTCCACTGCTGACTGAGAAAAAGTTTTTTCTAGTGATAAATCTACCTTTTCCATTGTTGCAAATAATGGTACTTATATATATATATATATATATATACACACACATATACATACATACATACATATTTAGTCAGCCACCAATTGTGCAAGTTCTCCCACTTAAAAAGATGAGAGAGGCCTGTAATTGGCATCATAGGTAGACCTCAACTACGAGAGACAAAATGAGAAAACAAAGCCACACAAATCACATTGGCTGATTTGGAACAAATTTGCAAATTATGGTGGAAAATAAGTTTTTGGTCACCTACAAACAAGCAAGAGTTTTGGCTCTCACAGACCTGTACCTTCTTCTTTAAGAGGCTCCTCTGTCCTGCACTCAGTATCCTGCACCTGTATCAATGGCACCTGTTTGAACTTGTTATCAGTATAAAAGACCCCTGTCCACAACCTCAAACAGTCACACTCCAAACTCCACTATGGTGAAGACCAAAGAGCTGTGGAAGGAAACCAGAAACAAAATTGTAGACCTGCACCAGGCTGGGAAGACTGAATCTGCAATAGGCAAGCAGCTTGGTGTGAACAAATCAACTGTGGGAGCAATAATTAGAAAATGGAAGACATACAAGACCACTGATAATCTCCCTCGATCTGGGGCTCCACGCAAGATCTCACCCCGTGGGGTCAAAATGATCACAAGAACGGTGAGCAAAAATCCCAGGACCACACGGGGGGACCTAGTGAATGACCTGCAGAGAGCTGGGACCAACGTAACAAAGGCTACCATCAGTAACACACTACGCCGCCAGGGACTCAGATCCTGCAGTGCCAGATGTGTCCCCCTGCTTAAGCCAGTACATGTCCGGGCCCGTCTGAAGTTTGCTAGAGAGCATTTGGATGATCCAGAAGAGGATTGGGAGAATGTCATATGGTCAGATGAAACCAAAATAGAACTATTTGGTACAAACACAACTCGTCGTGTTTGGAGGAGAGAGAATGCTGAGTTGCATCCAAAGAACACCATACCTACGGTGAAGCATGGGGG